CCTTACCTTCTTTCTCTGTGGCTGGAGAATAGTAAACTGAAGGCAATCTTTAAATGCTAATACAATTGATGAATTGGACAGAAAAATTAATTCTTTTTACTATGTCTTTTGTGTAGATCTCATCAAAAACATTATTTGATCTCAAATTAATAGCATCACTTATTTTAATACAAATATACAAAGATGTAAATTAAATAAATGCAGAATAGTTACTAGATTAAGAAAAATTCTGAGGTACCTGGTGGTACACAGAAACACAAAAATGTTTTAAGAATAGAAGCCCTATTGTATGTTTCATTTCTCTTTATAAGGCTTATTAGAGGGCCAGACAGCTGGTCATGTAATCACTGATTTTCTATTCTGATTTTGGAAGTCTTGGTTCTCTTTATCATTCATCCTATCTAATAATAGACAAACATGGTAATTGACCGTACCTTTGCTATGCCTCCCATGGGCTAATCAGCGTGTTATGCAAATTAACCACCAACAAAGATTGCAGTTAATTTGCATGCTGTAGGCAGGACGGGACAGCGCAAGCCCCCAGTGTGCTGCCATCCAGATTCCTGAAATGTTACATTTTACCACATTAGTTTATTCTGTTTCTTGTTCTTTCTCTTGCTATATATCTGTGCAATATGTAATATATATTAACATATATATGTGTATATATATATATATATACACACATAGGCACCACATATTTTTCCTGAACCATGTAAGAATAAGATGTAGACATAGCGCACTTTTACTTCTAAATACTTTAGTATGTACTTCCTTATGAGAAGACATTCCCTTACACATAGCCACAGTACAATTTTCAAGATCAGGAAATTGGCATTGATCAGTGCTGTTATCTGAGCTACAGGTTATTTTCACGTTGGCCAGTTGTCCCACTGTATTCTTTTATATAAAAGAAAAAACTTACTTTTTTTCCAGTCCAGGATCTAATAATCCAGAAGTCTCCTTTAATCTAAAACAGTTTCTCTGTCAAACTTTGATTTTCATGACTTTGACATTTTTTAATAACACAAACCGTTTATTTTGTAGAATTTCCCTCAGTTCGGGTTTGTCTTGTTTTTCCTCATAAGATTCAGTTTATGCATTGTGGGTCAGAGTACCACAGAAGTGATGTTATCATACCAGAAATCCATAGAGGCCTATGGCACTTCCCTCCAAAAACATTTTTTTTAAAATTACCAGTTTTTTGTTTTTACTTATTTAATAAATTTTTAAAATTCTTTATTGTTTAAAGTATTACATGAGTCTCCTTTTTCTCCCATTGGCCTCTCCCCGGCCGTTCCCAGCCCCCAGCACATGCCCTCACCCTCCTACTGTTCTGTGTCCATGGGTTATGTTTATATGCATGCATACAAGTCCTTTGGTTGCTCTCTTACCTCCCTCTCCCCTGCCAGTTTTAATGTTACATGGAAAGCAGAGTCAGAGAGTCTTACATTTGTCAAGATATTATACTCTGTTATATTCATTCTCCAGTTGCTTTCTCTTAAGAAAATGTGTGGCCTTTTTGCCAGTGTATGTTTCTTGGCATGTAGAAGGGTTAAGGAATCTGGAGAAGGGGCTGCAGTAAATTAATCAAGAGTCCAGAGATGAAACAAATTTGGAAGGCATTTTGGGGAGCCAGAGGAGACTTAGCTAAAGAAACAAAGTCCTCCTGTCTCTCTGGACCCCTTGCTTTTTATTAACACAAATTGTCCTAAAGCAAGGTAGATATACGGAGGACAGGCAGGGTTTAGTATACAGAATCCATTGTCAGATTGGAGGAACTGCCTTCGGCTGTTCAGGTATTTGGCCAGTAGGAGGCAATAACATGTAGATTGAAATGCCCTCAGCTGCCTGGCAGCAAGCAATCATTTATGCATCCTTTTCAACTTTAGGGAAATGCCCTTAGCCATTTCCAACAGGCAATAATATGTATTTTCCATCCCTTGCTGAAGGCTCAAGGTCCACCAACCTTTTAATGAACTTCTTGCATTTATGACCTGCTGGAATTAGCTTCCGGCATCTTTTAGTTAGCTTTTACCAAGTGGAAATTGCTGAATAAAATCAGGATAGAGGCACAAAAACAGAGCTTTAAGTGTAAGGTTTAGAGTATATTATGTGAATGAGCCTGGGCCGTTGCAAGAATTCGGCTTTAAACCCTTGGTCAAGAACAATAAATTTTTTATTCTTGGAGTACTTCTGCCAAAACACTGAAATCAATATACTATTCTCCTTTTAGAAGTGTAAAATCAGGATAGAGGCACAAAAAAAGAGCTGGTGTATTGAGCTTTAAGTGTAAGGTTTAGAGTATATATTTTATGTGAATGAGCCTGGGCCATTGCAAGGATTGGGCTTTAAACCCTTGGTCAAGAACAATAAATTATTTATTCTTGGAGTACTTCTGCCAAAACACTGAAATCAATATACTATTCTCCTTTTAGAACTTTTACACCTTTCCAAGGCAAACATTCAAATGTATTGAGTAGGGAGGTAAGAGAAAACCCTGTTTTATCTGATAGAAGTAAAAGACATTTAAGTTTATTAGAACAATATTCAGTATTTATTATACTGTTTAAAGTAGTAATCTTTTCTATATTAATGCTAGTTCATACTGCCTCTTTGAATGATCAAGAAACAGAACATGCAGCCTGCAGT